TCTGATGCTTGTGCAGCAGGCCGTGATATTATGTCATGAATGAATAGCTGAGGTTTTGTCATGACTCAGCATGGTGTCAATCCTAGAAATATGGCTGCCTTCATGTTCCTTCTTCAAGTCTTAGACCTGTGTTGTATTTTTATAAGTTAAAGTTAAAGCATTCGTAGAACACATTATTAAAAAGTTTTGGCCTCGACTTTATAAGCACTCCAGATGCACTATGGCAGAATGTTCTTGAGAGAGTGGTTTTGACTGGTACGATGCAATAGCCTGAAGTGTTCTTCAGCCAAGGAAATCCTGGAAGCTGTACTGCTCTTCTGATATGATGTTTCCTGGAACAGAATGTTCTGCTCGCTGGAATAAAGGAGGAGCCTTGGTTCTGTTCATTACAAATAATGAAATCAGTGTCTTCAGGTAATAGATCTGTTTGTTTTTTTAATGATGAAATGATGATATGTTTCTTAGGGAGTTGACCTGATTAATGACTGCCTTTCACTATCCATTTTTCATGTGGGCCTGTACAGCTTGTACAGTATTAAATGCTCACTTAAACATGTAAACATTTCAACTATGTAAATAACATTAAGATAAATCAATACAAAGGCTCATTACATATTTAAAAATCCCATTTCTTTTACGTAAGGCTTAATGGCACGACCTCTTCTGTGTCCCACTGTCCCTGAGTTTTCCTGTCTATTCCCAACAACTGCCTAAAGAATTCTCACAAGGATACGAGGAAGGGTGTTGTACTTCCTCTTGTTCCTCTTATTGTACACAACCTAAGCAGGTAAAAGTCAAACTATCCCCATTTGTACTGAGGCAAAAGACCACTTTGTAAACCATGTGAACCAAAACCTGAAGGTCAGATTTTATTTATTTATTTATTTTTATTTCTCCTAAAAGTCAAGCCTGCTTTGTCTAAGTTTTAGTTAATAGACTTCAGACCTATTCTTGATACATTTCTTTCCATCATACCATCTCTCATAATTCCTTACCAGTGTCAAACGGCTAAGTACGAATAGTTCTTTCCGTTTCCCTCTTCCTTTACCATGCTACTGAATGTATAAAGATTTTTAATCTGTCTTTTACTTTTGGGAGAGAGTTCTGATTGCTGTTGGGAGTGTAATGATCCCATGTAATTAGTCTCACAATAAATTGCAATAACACGCTGCACAGCTGGGAGATGTAGCCTTGTTGCACTGGAATGATCTCCTTCCCTGGAAATGAAATACTTATTTAGACCTAAGAGTGACTGCTGTTTTAACATTTGCTGGGAAATATTACCATCATGTGAAACTGAAATTTCTTAAGTTACTGACCACCACAACAAGCATCATGTTAAATCCAAATGATTGATTCACATTCAAATTGCATACAAATTTTACTGAAATAATAGAATCTTACTAATAGTGTCTAAATGGTTAGGATAATAATAGATATCCTAACCACTGGTCCATTGTTGTGCAGTGCTGCATTTTATTAATTTGCATTTCGGGAAAAGAGACCCAGCCCAAGATTATTTCCAAGAAAAATGCCATTTGCATTAGTTGCTAGCCCAGCAAATTTTATTTATACTGCTGTGCACACCTGCTTGTGTGTGTGTGTTACACACACACACACATTTGTTGTGTTTTGAATTTCATACAACTGGTCATTGCACGGTTTTAATAGTGTATTAATTCTAAATAAAATTCTTAGTGCAGGATTATAGCTATTTTAGTCAGGTGAACCTGAAGGACACCTGTCATATACCAGCTGCAAACAAGAGAGTTCAAACCCTCATCAGTAATGGAATTATAGATGGCATAAAATCATCAGGACAATACAGCTTATTATTCCTCTTCATTAGCCTTTTTTCCATGAAAGGGGCATTTAACCAAATTAGCATAATGTTATTGAAATGGATCTTTTTATTTTATACGGCAATTTAAATTCACATTATCCATTTGAACTTCAGAGGATGAGCAGCAAATTAAAATGGGATCAGTATGAAGGGAATTGATAGTTATCAAATCAAAGAGCTGTAAATAATTGTACTTTATGTGGTTTTAAGTATCTCCACTTATCACATTTGAGAGGAGATCTTAATACCAGCGCTGTTTAGATCTTTTTTTTTTCAACAATGAAACTTTTATTTGACATGTCCTTAATACTAATTTATACAGCAATGCCGTTGTTGTACTATAAAAATGAAATATTTGATGATCATATTTGCCTTTTGCTATAGCAGGTTAGAAGAGGAGCAGCAGGTCAGTGAATGGATAGCTCTCATTTTCGTTCCCTGGCATTCAGGCATGTTTTACTATCACCAGAACTTCTAATGTAAACAGTCTCAACGTTTCCACTGAAGTGAGGGGTGGTATGAGAGTCAGAGCCACAGTCTGACTAACCCAACAAGCCCTGGCAAAGAGAAAGGATTAAAAAGATTTAGGCTTGTTCTGACAGCTAAATGCAAATGTAACTTACTACTAAATATAATAAATATAAATGGTACTAAATTAAAGAACATGATGGCCAAAGAACATTTATACCAAACATTTTATCTGAAAGAAATAGTTCACCCACCTAAAATTTCCTGAAAATGTACTTGCCCTTAGGCCATCCTAGATGTAGACAAGTTTGTTTCTTCATTGGAATAGATTTGGAAAAATTTCAACCGTCATAGTAAACCACAAACCATAAGTCCATAAACCATAATAATGCTTCACAATCTAGAGAAAAGAGAAGTGAATCCCCTTTTGTCCTCTCATATCAAACCAACATATTTGTTTAAAACTGTTTTTGCTTGTAAACGTTTGTTGATCTGTGAATATTTCTGTCCTGATTCAGGCTAAATTATGTTTTCAATAGTGAAAGCAATATTATGTATAGAGGACTCATATTTTAGCTAGAAACAATGTTTTGAAGTTTAATAGTGGATTTGTATATTACAAACTCAATTTTTTTTTGTTTCACTGTAGTCGTGGATTAATTGTGGATTATTGTGATGTTTTTATCAGCTGTTTGGGCTCATTCTGACGGTACCCATTCACTTCAGAGGATCCATTGTTGAGCAAGTGATATAATGCTACATGTCTCCAAATCTGTTCCAGTGAAGAAACAAACTCATCATCTTGGCCTGAGGGTGAGTACATTTTCAGCAAACTTTCATTTTTGGGTGAATGATTTCTTGAAGTAATGTCAGCTCAGTCTGAAGGGGTAATCAGTTGTACAATATCATTTCACATCCTGTTCTTGCCTTGTGCAGAAAACCTCTCCCTATTGAACAGGAAGGGCAGTTTGTTTACATGTTGTCTAAGTATTTCCGTCATAGTCCATAAAATCTTTGCACACAAGACAGCAGTGTGTCCCAATGCTGTGTTTGATATACTGTAAAGCAAAGGACAGCTTTATGTGGCAAAAAGGATTTGGGGATGAATGTCAATCATTGGTAGCTGCAAATACTCTTTTAAAATAGCTATTTTTTAGTTGAGTTTCTTGGTGTGACCTGTGGGGGATCTCTTAAAGGCATTTTTGTGCCGGTGAGTTACACGTAAAGTAATAACTGATTAAGATCACAGCTTAATTATTTGTCTAAACCAGCAACATTATTTGATTAACACTGGCTTAAATTAAGCTTAAATCTGAGTGCAATCAGCCGGTATCTTAAATTAGATGAAAAATTAGTTTAAATTGAGACTTAAATCTAATTAAGACTTGTTTCAAACACTTAAAAAAGCAGCTGTTATCTTTTCAGAGCAGTCAACTTCTCCAGCAAATCTGTACAAATCCTCTCTTCTTTTGGCCTTCTTTAGGCAACATTATCTCACAGATACCAACGGGGGGATCTCAAGTCTGGTATCATGAAACAAAACACACATCAGAAACTCAGAGACCACATTTTCTCTCTTGCTATGGCCCATTTTCTCCCTATTGAACAGATTTATATTAAATCCCTAAAGGGGCAGAACAAAAACAACACAAAAGGCAAATATATGCTTTATGAACATAAAAATCAGAAAAGAGATTATAAAAATTATTAGTTTCAGCTTAGTCAAAACTTAATGGTCAGTCTTCAGATTTCTCATACTAACTCTCCTAGTACAATGCTGTCTATGACTTTATTATGTGGCATCATTCAAAAAGATATAAGTAAAATATAATCATGAACATCAGGGAAAACAAAATATACTTATATATACTTGTGTATATAAAGAAATTACTTAAGCAATTTCATTAATATTCATAAATGAATGTTTACTTTTTCCCTTAGGGGTGTTTTTCTTCATGAAATGTTTGGATGTGCATGAAATAAATATGATGGAATCAGGAGTCAGCTCCAGACAGAAAAAGCTCAATCACTACCAACAGACTGGAAA